GTGGCGCATGCCTGTAGTCCCAGCTACTCGGGAGGCTGAGGCAGGAGGCTCGCTTGAGCCCAGGAGTTTGAGGTTGCTGTGAGCTAGGCTGACGCCACGGCACTCTAGCCAGGGCAACTGGAGCCAGACTCTGTCTCAAAAAAATATATATATAATAAGGAAGGTATAAGGAAGGTATAAGGTTAAGTAACCTGCCCAAGTGGAAGGTACCAAGTAGCAAGTGGAAGCCAGGGGATTTGAACCCAGGAAGTCTCGAGTCACATAGGACATGCTCCTAGTTCTTAGCATCTATACTATTCAGCTCCTGCAGCCCCGATCCCCTCTCCCAATATGGTACAAGTGGTGGAATCATATCACAAAAGCCGTTTCTTGTAAGTCCTCTCTCTCACTCAAGCATTTCAACTTTGAGCAATCATTTACATTTCCTCTTATCACAATTAACGACAATCTACACATGGTAATCTCTAAGACACTAACCACATAGCACTACTTACACACGGGCTCGGTTCAGCTATTTTTCCAAAATTCTCTTCCTCCATGAGACTACAAGGACACAAGACTGGGCCCTGAGATGCAGGGTGAAATATCACCAGATACTTTGCTATGTTTTCCGTTTCTAAGTTAAAGCAGTCACTTCTATTTAACAGCAACAACACACAATTACTTTCTTAAAAAAGATAGCTACTTAACACTATGCATAGATTCCCTTATGATGGTTCCTATTATGCTACTGGAGTGACAGCTCATAATAAGCCACCACTCCAATTTGCTATTCATATAGTCTGTAGTCAAATTACTTCTTATCTAGGCCATTTCTTAAAATTCATTACCAAAACACTTAAAACATACATTCCACAACTTGTGTTGCACAAATCCGAACTTCTGAACAAAAACATGATCCAAAAGTATCTAATAAGCTCTCAATGTTATAGCCCTTTCCAGTCCAGACGAAAACAAATATTTTTCTTTTTTTTTGAGACAGGGTCTTGCTTTGTTGCCCAGGCCTGAGGGCAGTGGCATGATCATAGCTCACTACAACCTCCAACTCCTGAGCTCAAGTGATCCTCCTGTCTCAGCCTCCCAAGTAACTGGGACTACAGGTGTGTGCCACCACACCCAGCTAATTTTTTCTATTTTTTGTAGAGACAGGGTCTTGCTATGTTGCTCAAGCTGACTTTGAACTCCTGACCTCAAGCAATCTCCTGCCTCAGCCTCCTAAAGTGCTAGGATTCAGGTGTAAGCCACTGCGCCTGGCCCAGATGAAAATTTTTTAAGTAGGTTCTAACACTGTGATATACAGTTTGGTGAAAATTTTATGTTAAGAAGTTTTCTGAAGGGAAAATGAAAACTTTTCTTCCAAATAACTATTTTGAAACTTCCACAACAATATTCTTAAAGTGATATTGAAAACATAGAATCCAGGCAGATTTCAATGTTGGGTTATAAATACCAGGCAGGCTCTTGCCTAACTAACAGACTGCTTTGTAGGGATTATCCCACATTCCTGATAATATCCAACAGTTAGCCTTGGTTATCGGAATAGAAAAGCTTTAAAAATCTAAATCTCAGTAAATTCCTTCCATTGATCCTGAATTTCATAGGATGAGGCCCAAGTGTTTCCAGATTGTCTAGGCAACAACAACCTCTGTATCAATAGTTGACTCCTGAGGAAGTCTCAGACCCTTCTGAGAATCTGATGAAAACCATGGACCTTCTTCCTAGGGAAGTGCAAAGTTCTTAAGCCAAGTTCTATGTCCCAAGAGAAGAATATTGCTCTATACCTTGCACCAAATGGAGACAGGTGATGACAATCTCAAATTCTGTGACATAAAATCAACCTTTCCATTTACTCAATTTGTTAGGGAAAACAAGTCTTTTTACAGATTCCAAATCAAAGACGTTGGGGTAGTGAATTAGCTTAAAGACAGCTCTGGCCAAAGGTACTGATCCTACCCACCCAGTACACACTTCCAAAATTCCACGTGGTGGATACTTCCTGCTTTTCAGTACTGGGCTCAAATGTCACCTCCTCGGAAAGGATTACTTTCCTGACCACCCTATCTAAAGCTGTTCCCAGGCCCTCTTTATCACGTCTTGCTCTTTTATTTTCGCAACAGCATTTATTAATATTCAAAAATACCTCATTTACTTAGTTATTTTGTCTCTTCTATTAGAATATAAGCTCCATAGGGGCAAGGTCCTTGTCTGTCTTGTTCTCCACTGTATCCTCAGTGACTGGTACACAGTGGGCATGTGACAAATATTTGAAAGATTAAAACTAAAAAACAGGATATTGATTTTTGGCATCAACTACCAAAGCTTTAGCTATGAATTAAACTTCTCACTCTCTCTTTCCATAATCTGAGGGTCCATTCAATCAGCAAGTATTTATTGAGCACCTATTGTGTGCTAGGCACTGTCAGAGGTACAAGGGATAGAGAGCAGTGAATAAATCAGACAACTATCTTTGCTGTACAGACCCTATGTTTTAGTATATATTTTAGTGGACTGCCCAGAATAAGCAGATGTCTTATTGCACATTACAAAGCCTGGGATATACAGATCACTGTCTACATTCCTTCCTTGCGGGAAAGAGCTATG